GACTGCTCTGACCAACAGGTTGCTGGCCCTTAGAGCAGCCCTGTTCTGACTTTAAGCAGGGCTTATAAAGGTAAAACCATGTTCTGTTCAACAATCGTTGCGAAGCAAGCTAGCCCAGGTACAGAAGTGAAACAATGGCTGTTAGTTGCCGTTGCGAAGCGTAAGTGAACACAATCAACACAACCGTTTATCCACATCCCGCTTCAGCTCCTTCTATTTTCCTCGTCTCTATGGTAATCAGATTTTTCATAAACCCCTTTCCGCTTAAAACTAAGGTGGCACCTGATTAATGGCTTCTCTCCGGACACCTGATTAATGGCTTTCCTCTGGCTAAGTCTTTTAACCATTTCAAGTCTTAGCCAGAGGAAAGACTGTAGCCAAGTACGTGTGTGTGCATGAGTATCCCGTATCTGCATCTTGGTTAGAGCACTGGGATCTAGAAGCCTCCATCTCTAAGATCCAAAGCTAAGAGCTGTGACCACCCAGGCAGCAGTCAGAGGTATCTTCAACTTGGACCATTGTGTTCTAATATGCTATGGTTTCTTAACTATAGTCTGTCTTTCCCCTTCTCATTTAATTCTAATATAGTAGGGATGGTGAGTGGCACATGTGTTAAGCTCACAGTCCACAGATGTCCTTGGTGTACAAGCAGAGCTTGTCTAGCATCAGGAACAAATAAAAGACGTGGGCAATTCCTTTACCCCTTCCACAAATGAAACACATCTCTGTGTTGGTTTCTATGCAATCTTAAAATCAAATATATGCCATATTTATAATTGTAAATCATTATACCTTGTGTTCAAATTTTTCCTATGAAGTATTATATATACAAAAGAATGGAAAAAGCATATGTGCACTGTTTAAGGAAAAAATACTAAAATACACACCATGTAGCCCCCACTCAGGTTAAGCATTAGAGTGTTCCAGTACCCTACTCAACCCCCATCTTGCTCTGGCTCTTCATTGCTTTGAAGCCCCTCTTATTTTCCTCCCAAATTATATTCCCTTCTCTTTCTTTCAGCGATGATCACTACTTTGACTTTTGTAGAAATTGTTTTATGCTGGGAAGACTTGATGATCTTCACCTTACCCCACGATTTCCACCCTCTCGTAATCTAACACTGCCTAGGCACTGCTGGGAAGGACTTTGGTCAGTGTGATTAAAGTTGCACATCAGGTGATCTTAAGATTAGGTTAGCCAGCTGGGCCTGATCCAATCAGGTGAGAAGTCAGTCAACGTCTGGACAGGTAGAGGACTCTACTTGACATTTCTGAATTTTTAGATGGAGGGGACCACAAGACCACAGAACTGCCACAGCTGTTAAGAATGACCCCTTAGAATAGCCAGCTAGGAAACTGGGGCCACAGTCCACCACCAACAAGGAACCAAATTCTACCAACAGGCTGAATGAGCTCAGAAGAGGATTTACTTTCTCAGCAATTTATAGACTTCTCATTTACACAAAAGCGGTGTAACAATGAGGGGTTGCTTTACGCTGTTAATTTTGAGGTAGTTTGTTATGAAGCAATAGAAAATTGATATGTATTCTTTTGAGTTCTTTCATGGTTTTACCACCTACAAATAAATCAGTGTACAGAGTTATTCTTTTTGAAAAATGGATTAACAATTGCAAACTATTTGAGACAAGGTCTCCCTATGTAGCACAGGCTGGCCTTCAACTTGCAATCCTCCTGTCCTGACCTCCCAAGCTGGGATATGTGTCACCATATCCTGCTGCAAACTTAGCTTTTGAAAGAAAGGGAAAACTTGCCACAATGTGAGGGAAGACTTACCTGACAATATAAGCTTACAGTTTTAATAACCTTTCCTGGGAAAGCAGGAGGGGCTATAGTATGGCCAGGTACAAGACATCTGGTACCAAATTTTATCAGAGGAGTGGATTGTTTTATGTTTTCTGCTTTTGGACTCTCATCTTGGTTCCCTGCCCGTCCTTAGGAACAGGTCAAAGCAGAATACTGTGTGAGATGAATCGAGGTCCCTCAGCTATCTCCAAAGAGAAAAGGGAGAGATTTTGTCAGTGCATGGTCAAGATAAGGCAAGTATAGGAAAACATGTGGGCTGGGCACCATGTCTTCAAGCTAATCACAGTGGGCAGCAGGGGTCTATGGAAGGGAGCCCTCTGAAGGCCTGTCTCTGGGTCTTGGGACTTCCATTTGCGTATGCTGCCTTCTCTGTGGGGAGGACACCTGTCGACCTTCACAATCCTGGTAACTTCTTACACCTGTCTCATAGGTTAAAGCCTCCATTTCTTTTTTCTATTTCTTCCAGATTCGTGGTTTACTGTCTTGTTTTGGTGGAATGCATTGTTGAAAAGTTTCTTGAAAAACATGTTGTATACACATTTTTGAGACCTCATGTGTCTGAACATATTTTTATTCGACTCTCATACACGACTGAGGTGGGTGTATGAGTCAGGGTTCTCCAGAAAAACAGAACCAAATAGGATGTGTGTGTGTGTGTGTGTGTGTGTGTGTGTGTGTGTGTGTGTGGTGAGTGTAAAGTAAGGAACTGACTCATGTGATAATGGAGGGTGAAAGTCCCTATATATGCATCAGCAGGCTGAAGACCCAGGAAAGCCAAAGGTGTAGTTCCAGTCTTAGAGCTGGGAAAAACCCTGATGTCTCACCTCAAAGGCAGGAGGAATTCCCTCTTACTCATCCTTTTTGTTCACTCAGGCCTTCCCTTGATTAGATAAAGCCCACCCACATGGTCATGGGGGGGGCAATCTGCTTCATCCACTCAAATGTGGTTAATCTCACCCAGAAACACCTCACAGACATATCCAGAATAATGTTTGACCAAATATCCAGGCACCCATGGCTCTGTCCCATTACAGTGGGAGATGGAATACTGGGAACTTACTGGGGACCATCCTCCCTCTGAACTAGAAGGTGCTGCTGGAACAAAGTGAGAAGCCATTCTGATTCTTGATCCTTGGGAATCATTGGTTTTACTCTTTGGAAGGGTACAGTAGCCATGTTGTCACCTGTGCCTTTTGTCCAGACAGCTATGGTGTTCCTGCCTGGAGTGGGCAAGGTACAGCTGACTAATGCCATGGAATGAGAAGTTGGGTGCAGAGACTCCATTTCTTGTACATTTCCCCCCTAGTCCTCCTTACTTTAGCAGCACCATCTTCACTCTGGTCCACAGGTGCCTGGGGTAGTGAGTTCCTCTGGGGATGTCAATCAACTCAGCTTTCCCAGTTTCTGGCCTGGGATTGGCTCTGTCAGACCTGAAATGGCAATTGCCACTAACCACCTGCTTCCCACTCTCAAAGTGGTGCCACTGTTGATGTCTCCCTTTCCATTAGCCCCATGGATTTAATTGGGAAGGGAGACAGGGAGGGAAAGAAAGAGGAAGGGAACTTTATTGTGGCTTTCATGGATTTTAGGAAAGAACAAAATTAGATGCAGATGTCCATCCTTGTGCTTCAGTCCTGATTCCATGAGCTTTTTAGCATCCAGACTTGTTTTCTTGCTTATTTTAGTCACCATTTGTTGCCTGTTTCTTCCTGGTAGAACATTTGCTAAGACAGAGTAGGGATTCTTTTTTTAATTTTTCCAAATATATCCTTAGAATAGAAACAGGATCTGGCTGACAGTGACGCTCAGTACATGGTTGCTGAATGAATTTGTGACTTCTGTTTTCTTCTAATTTTTGCCTCTTGACAGTTCTTTCTTTTAAAAAATCTTATTTCATCTTTATCCTATCTTTTCAAAGTTCTATTTTTGCAAACGTGAATGAGTGTTACATACTGGTATAGTAGAACATCTTCATACTTTATAAATAAACTAACAAACACAGTTTTTAAGTTTTAAGGAAGCATGATTTAAAGATCTCAGAGACCACGGACCTCAAATATTAGTTTGTGCATGTGGTTCCAACCCCCTTAAATACTCAACAAGTCTCTTTTCTAGGCAGGCACTCCTATCTCTTAAGCCCCACCACAAGCCCCTCTATTTTCTAAAGTGGTTCTTCAGCCTGGAGACATCCACCATGAGCAGAGCAGGGTAAAGAACCCAAGCCTCTGGCCCTGCTTGGAGATCTGCCACCTTCCTTGTCCTTTGCCAGAGACGCCCCCTGGTGAGCAAAGGCCAGGAACAGCCTGCAATAGGATTTGGGAAAGTCATTGCTAAGCAAAGAGGTGCTCTGACATTCAGGTTTAGAGTCTTTCTCTCCCTGCTTCCATTTCTCTTGTTCCTCTTCTAGCCCACCACTCTCCAGTGCCCCACTCCTGGACTCGGGTCAGCTGCAGAAGCTCAGAAAGAGGTAAAGGAGAAGGGCCCAAAGCATTGCCTCGACGCCATACTCCTGGTCATTCTCAGTGGGACGCTCAGTGCCAGACAGCCTGACTTACTCAGACAGCTGTGCCCCGTGCTAGCTCTGACATCTTATTATGTTTGTGCAACTGTAAGCTTTCTCCAAACTTTTCTGGAATGAAAAGAATATGTGGAAGAAGGAGATACAGGTATGGAATCAGTGAGGTTAGGTAAAATTGATCATCCAATGGCCTCAAAGAAGGATAGATACTAAAAGTTTGCTCCCTCACAATGTCTAGGCCCCTTTCTGTGCGTCTGATAAAATCGGCTAGCTGAGACCCCCCACATACTTTACTCTGGACCCCTTCTCACCCACACAGGATGTTGGGACTCAGCCTGTTCATTTTTCCACTTCTCTCAGTCAGTCACCTTGCCTCAGGTCAAGCCTTCCATCTTTTGCTGATCCCTTTTTGCCATTTGGGTTCCAGACTGTCTCAAACTACAGTGGTGCCCTGCTCCCTTCTTCTCCTAATGGTCCATTCCTCAACTCTCCAGACTACATACTTAAATGACTTCCATCCCTCAAGGGACATTCCCATCAGATTTTAGGTTTCATCATTTTAATTGTGTCCAGTAATGACTAAAGCTCCCCAATACATATGTAATACAATCCGATGGCAATCACTCCTCACATGTATATTTGTTGGGAAACACATTACCCTGATATTCATGGATGAAAGCAGCCAAGAGGCTCAGAACTATAGGAACAGCTGTCCTCCAAACATCACTGGGTAAAGCGCTTCTGAAATACCACGAGGTTCCTCACAGCGGCCTTCACATCCTTGTTCCTCAGGCTGTAGATGATGGGGTTCAGCATGGGGGTCAGCACCCCATAGAAGAGGGAGATGAGTGTGTCTGCAAGGTCCTGCTTGTCTGCCCCAAGTGGGTCCTTAGACTTGGGCTTCCCATACATGAAGAGGATGGTCCCATAGAAGATGACCACGACTGTGAGGTGGGCAGAGCAGGTGGAGAAGGCCTTTTTCCTTCCCTCAACGGAAGGGATCTTCATGATGGTGGCAATGATGAAGACATAGGAGAAAGTGATGAACAGGACTGGGACCCCCAGGAAAATCACATTTGTCACCCCCATGCTGATCACATTGATGGAGATGTCAGCACAGGCCAGTTTCAGGACTGCCAGGATCTCACAGGTGAAGTGGTTGATGACATTGTCCCCGCAGAAGGGCAGCCGCATTGCAAAGGATGTTTGAACCACAGAGGCAGCACTCCCTGCTGCCCAGGAGCTGATGGCCATGGGCACATAGGCAGCCTTGCTCATGACCACAGGGTACCGAAGGGGGCTGCAGATGGCCACATAGCGGTCAAACGCCATCATGCCCAGGAGGACACACTCTGTGGCTCCCATGGCAAAGGAGAGAAACATCTGCACAGCACAGGCTGAGAAGGAGATGGTTTTCCTGGGGGCGAGGAAGCTGTCAAGAATGAGGGGGACTGAGGAGGTCGTGTAGCAGATGTCCAGGAAGGAGAGGTTCCCCAGGAAGAAGTACATGGGCGTGTGCAGGTGGGAGTCAAGGATGGTCACCAGGATGAGGACTCCATTGCCCAGCAGGATCACCAGGTACGTGGACAGGATGAGCACAAAAAACATTTTCTCCAGCTTCGGGTGAGCTGAGAGGCCCAGGAGAACAAACTCTGACACAGAGGCTGTCTGATTGGCACTTTCCATGGTATGATATCTCCTCTGTCAGCTGAAGAAAGTACTTAGGAGGTCCAAACTTAACATTCTTTGTCTTACACAGGGACAGAGTATCTGCTCCAGAGTCCAGGTCTTGCTAAGTGATTAGAAAACAGTTCTGAAAGCCCACAGTATCTATTTTTTTGTAAGATAAGGGAAAAATTATTTTGGGACCATAAGACTAATTTGACAAGGTTTAAAATGATGACTGATAATTTAATGCACTTGATCAGTGAGAAAAATGAAACATACTCATTCTAGTGATGCTATTATCAATATGGCAATTCATCTGATTAGAAAAGTGACTTTAAGTTTGTTCCATGTTCCCCCTACTTCATGCCAGATACTAGTGACATGATGAGTTGTGAATCCTACCTTTATAACTTTTTCTCCAGGTCATGCTCACAGATAACATTCTCCTGTTGTTTCCAAGATCTTTCTTATGGCAAACTCCAGCCCCAGGGCTTTCTATCCATTGATCTATCAATCTATCCATCTTTCTAGCCATTCACTCATCCATCCATCCATCCATCCATTAATTTATCAATCATGTTTGAACATAAGTCAAAATACTTATTGATCAGCCAGTATGACAATTTCTATGAGGATCAGAGGTAACTCATGGCCCTTCCATGGGTTTACCCCTTGGTAGGGAAAAAAACAAGGATTCAGTAGAAGCCATAGCGTCCAAAAGGACACACTGAGTAATGATGGGAACAGGGGTCATAGAAGGCTTTCTTGGAGATATAGAATCCAAAGGAAAAGAGGAGATTAAATGTTGAGAGATGTAAATGAAAAGGGAGAGGTTTCCAGGATGACTTCATGTTCTAGAAATTCTGGTATCTGCCTAGTAATTTAAATGTGGCGTTTCATGAGACGAACAACAGTGGCTCCAGAAACCCCTCATGGCTCACAGCTCCTGGAAATCTAGTTCTCTTATGCACTTGCCTAAGAGCAGTGCTTTGTTTTTTTCTTTTTTGTTTTTATTCATTGTACTAGGTTTCCTTCTCTTGTGTGAGTGTTACATAGGAATCCATGGACATAATAGTTCATGAGCTTTTTTGGCTCATCAGCTAAGTATATTACGCAAACAGTAATATACTGACACTGATTCTGCTCCCCAAATGATCTAGTCCAACCTTTTCTCCCATTCTTGATCCTTTCTGCACAACACTGATGCATGGCTTCATTTTCAGCTTGATCTCTTCTAATGAGGTACAGCTCACTGCATTCCCAAATAGCCCGCTCCATATTTGCAGAGCTCTGGAGGATCAGAAAATTCTCCATAAGAACAAAGCCAGTAGCTTTCTGAGTATCTCTCACATGATGGTAATTAAGCCTTCTTTAGGAATTGCCTGCGTTTGTGAAATGTTGCAGGAGGCAAAGTGACCATCTCACTTCTGGGGGAGTAAAATGAGTCTATGAACTCAGACTCGTAAGTTTCATAGACCTCTTGCCATCTAGATTTTTCTGACCTAAGAAGGGTCAATCTTTGTGATGCCACTAAAATGGCTTCATTTCTTCATTCCATTTTTAAAGCCCCAATTCCTTTGGAAAATGAAGTCAGAAGTCAGAAATGTTACTATGCTAATAAAAGATTGAGTATTACTTCTATAAGAATCCTTACCTTAATCAAGAAGTTATTGAGAAAGGGTCCCTGCCACTTAGAAAGAGCACATGGGCCAGAAATAGCAGTGCCGGCTTGGCAGGGCCCGGGCCGAGACAACCCCTCTGAGTTGAAGAAAAGACGAAAGTTATTTCCTCCCACTCAGTCTTGGTTCTGTGTTTTGGGCAAAATCTCCTAATGGAGTATATAAGAAGGCAATTGGAACTATTGTGCTCCCTAAAGTGATTAAAAGTTTGGAAATGGAATTACATAGTCAGGAAATTTTTTATACTTCTGAGACAATGTCCCCAAGATCCAATTATGCTGAAGCACTCCAGGAAGACTTCTTTTTCTCCTTCTCTTGTTTCCATTGGAACTTTCCACTCTGAGGCCATTGAAAGCATTGTGGAAAACATTTCTATGTCCTGTTTGAATTACTAAAAACTTCAAAATGGGAAAAAGTTCTTGAAAAGAAGCTGGGGAGCCACTCTGTAGGACAGCCTTGACCTAGAAAGAAGTTAGGGTAGGTGGATCAGTCAGGTGTAACTCAGCGGAGGCAGCACAACAGAAATAACAGAAACAATGTATTACTAACAGATTCCAGAGAGAGAAGGGTAGTGGGCCTCATAGGGCCAACAGAAATAGAAAGATATGAACGCTCAGCCAGTAGATGGGGAGAAAAAGAAAGAGTGAAGGATGTATGGGCCAAACCCATTTTTGGGGTCCAGAAAATTGTAAGTTTCCTATGAGGATTTCTAGTTAGTAGGTTTCCAGCAAGCAGGCATAGGGAGTAACAGTCCATACAGGGTGTGAGGATCAGTGGGGTGAGTCAAATAGGTTGTGTCTATATGTCCAAAAGGTAGGCCATCACCAGAAGGGAGTCATATAGAGCAGATATCTGTATTGACCATATTAAGGAAGTAGGAGGAGTCAGAGAACTAGAAACTATATTAAGGTGCTCTAAGCCCTGCTCTGGTATAAGAAGATCAAACCTATATTCAAAATGGACTCAGAAGAAACATAAAATTTGAAGAATTTACTAGAATCCCTTAATAGTCATTTTTATAAATTTTTTATTTATTTATGGTGGGACTAGGGTTTGAACACAGGGCTTTACACTTGCAAAGTAAACACTCTTGAGCCATGCAATAAATTATCTCAAAATGGATCATAGGCTTTAATGTAAAACTTTAACCATATAACTTCTAGAAGAGAGCATAGTACAAAATCTTTGTGAATTTGGATTAGGTAAAGATTTCTTACATAAGACAACACAAGCAGAATTCATAAAATAAAATATTGATAAATTAGTCTATAAATTTTAAAAATTTGTGCTTTGAATGATACCACAATAAATGAAAAGACAAAACAATCAGGAGAAAATATTCACAAATTATGTATATGAAATAGGATTTGTATCCAGGATATATAAACAACTCTTACATGCAGCTCAATAATAAAAAGACCAATAACAGCTAAAATGCTATCATCAAAAAAGATTGACAAATGGCTACTAATTCATGAACAAATGCTCAAAATCAGAAACTATCATGAAAGTGCAAATTAAAATTACAATGAGGTACTGCTATGTATTTACTAGAAAAGCATATAAAAAAGACCAATAACGCCAAGTGTTGGGGAAGATAAGCTTCCCTTACACGTTGCTTGTGGGAATTTAAAATGATAAAATCATTTTGGATCCCAGGAGAGTTAGAGCTAAACACATTCTTATCATTTGACACAACAATTGTTGTGTGTGGAGTGCATGAACGTTCACATTCATATTCACGTTATCCATAATAGCCCAAACTGGGAACAATCCAAATGTCATCAATGGGTGAATAGGTAAACATAAGGCGACATGAATGTACAATGAAATGTTACTCCACAATAAAAAGGAACAAATTCTCAATACATGTTACCACTGGATAAACCTCAAACACCAGGGAGAAAAACCCTGACACAAAAACTAATTGTATGATTCCATTCATGTGAACTTTCTAGAAAAAGCAAATCTTTCTGGAATGAAATAAATAGTAGTTGCCTGGGATTGGAAGTACAGATTAATTGCAGATGAGTACAGGGTACTTTTTGGGTTTTGTTTGTTTGTTTTTGTGGTACTGAGTTTTGACCACAAGGCCTTGTGCTTGCTAGACAAGAGCTCTACCACTTGAGGCACACCTGCAACCCAGAACTTTTTGAAATAGTGTATATAAATGTTCTAAAATGTTCTAAAATTTGGTGGTGATCATGACTGTATAGATTTGCTAAAAATCATTGAACTGCACCTTGCAAGACATAAATTTTATGGTATGTAAGTTATACCTTAATAAAGTAAAAAAATAAAAAGGTTTGACAAGACTAGCTATCATCTGATAGAATCCATTCTCCCCTAAAATCTAAGACTCTTTACTGTCCAGAGTTGCTAGGATGGGAAGCACAAATTCCCCCAGGTAGATTGCTGGAAATAATAGTACTCAGGGTTTCTCTTGCTATCACACTGAACATGTATATTTTACCATAATAAAGTGGTCACAGATGGAGGATTCATACTGCATTCTGAAGGAAGGTGCCCCCATTCTCCCAGGGTAGTTTCTCTAAGCTGGTACATTAGCCATGCTTTTAAAAAGCCATTCAGTCACTCTCTTGGGTCAGCTACTTCTGGATACTGCAGTATGTGGAAGGAGCAGTAGATTCCATCGTCATGGAATGACTACACCTATTTTGCTAAGTGGATCCCTTGGTCTGATGTGATGTTACCCAGGATCCCATGTCATTAGATCAAACCCCCAGTGAGCATTCAAATGATGGCATTGGCTAAAGTCCTGCAGAGAGGAAAGGCAACTCATATTCCAAAGACTGTTGATTTCAATCAATGTAAATCACTGCCCCTTTCAGAGTACCAATGGTTTAAGGCAATCAACTTACCTGCAAGAAGCTATTTAGTCTCTCCAAATGAGAGTTGATCTCTATTACTGGCAGTTTAGACATCCAGCTGTTGATGTGGATGTATCAGCCTTTGTGAGTGAGAGCCCCTGTTGTGTAGACCATATATGGTTTCCTGCAACTATGACTATTCTGTTTATTGTACCAATGATAGATGTTGGATGACTTCAAGTGGCTCAGTCATTCTCTTTGATGTTGAGTCTAGTGGGGAAGATGTAGACACTGCAGCTGTACCTGACACATGGAGAGCTAAGGACATGGGAAAAACCAGGCTCACCTTCATGTATTGAAATACTGCTGTAAGACAGTGCATTGTTCTGTACTCTTCAAGGGACTTTCTCATTAGAGGAAGGAACCACAGAACCAGGGAAATTTACAGGTGGGAGTAACCTGAAATGTCTAGTGCTAACTCAGGATGAATTTACCTGACACTTTTCAA